TGGCCAGCGCACCGAATGCGGGCCGAAGATGCGTTTTTTGCACAGTTCCCCGCTGATTTTTTTTTTTCTCTAACGGCATTGTTTTTTTCGGCAGATGCTGAAAACTGAAGTTTTAAGTGGGTGTTTCCTGATAGCCCTGGCGGTTAGTCTCAGTTCTTTTGGCTAGGCCAAAAGAACTGAGACTAACCGCCAGGGCTATCAGGAAACACCCACTTAAAACTTCAGTTTTCTAGCTTTCCCCGAGTTAGCAAATTACCCGTAAAAAATTTTCACGCGTAGAACCCCACATCTGAAGGTTGAATCTGAAGCCATTAAATCGTACGTGGATTGAGGAAATCTCCGTAAAATTCAAGCTTTCTAGATTTTCAGTTTCCTGAGTTAGCAGCTTACTCGTCAGAAACTCTGATGCGCCCGTACATGGAAACCACGTAACAGCGCTCATTTTGGGGATGGGGCCCGTGTGTGCGTGAAGATTAAGTTTCCAAATTTTCAGCCTTGTAGCTTTTGTAGTTTTCGAGATGAAAAATCGGCAGACGAACATACAGATACATACACACAGACCGAACATGCAGACACATACACACAAACCGAACATACAGACACACACAGGCCGAACATACAGACACATACACACAGACCAAACAAGCAGACATATACACGCAGACAAACCCTCGACAATATGCGTTTGTGCATTGCATAGATGCAAAAAACGCATAAAAAAAGATGCAAACCTTAACAATCCGGTTGATAAAATCCGGTTCCGCAGACTTTCCAGATAACATTGTTAAATGTTCCTTCCCGGTGAGGAACCAAGTAGTTGCTATGTACAGGGAAACAATAATGGCACCTATCGGGTCAAAATACAGCCAGTAATTTGCTGCAATCCATGCACATAGCTGAAATAACTCATTTCCCCTCATAAAAAAAAATATTAAATAATTTCGGCATATAAAAATATCATTTGAAAACAACTGGGTCCCCAGCAATTCCCCGTATTTATACCCAAATAAAAAAGCTTAATAATTTGGATGGCTAGCAGTAAAATAAAATTGAAAGAAAAGAATGTGCTACTCGTTTTTCTAACCGCTAATGAATATCACGTATCAAAAAGCGATACCCAGGAGAGGGGAAAAAAGCCATTCCAGCGATCTCCGAAAACAGTTGCATAAAAAATATAAGGATAATCCCGGACAACTATCAAAAAAAAAGAAAAATCTGACTGAGATAACATTTCGCGAATGTGTCAGTGATCTCGCTAGCATCCGATTTTCATACCAAATGCCCTACAGTACTCTGTAATTACGGTCAACGATCCCAGCAGGAAGACGAACTCTAAGTGATTCGGCCCAATAAATGAAAAAAGTGGACCAAATCAA